GAAAAAACGGGGTAGAATTCTACAAATTTAGTGTTTTTCCAAAAGTAAACAACCAAAAACGTTCCAAAAAACTTAGAAAATGCCTTGTTTTTAAACACCCCAAAATGGCTTTCTATTTCTGGACCAGGGCATTTGGCGTCTTAAAAATTACGGCAAAATCCTACAAATTTAGCTGTTTTCTCAAAAGTCAACAACCAAAAAAGGTAAAAAGCATTAATTTTTATCCACCCCAAAAGTACCCAAATATCTGTAGACCACCAAAAATTGGGCACATGAAAAACCGTTAAAATCTCCCAAAATAATGCAAAATCATCTCAAGAGCACTCTGAAAAACTTTCCAAATCCGTTGTTTTTAGACATTCCAAATGGCTTTGTATTTCTGGACCAGAGCAATTGGCGCATGCAAAAAAAATTGGTCTAAAGAGTTTAGACAGTACTTCCCTCGCTGTCGGAAACTTGACGACTGCATGGCTATTGTGTTTTTTTCTCTTTACATTTTTGTAGTGGGAATTTAAAAAAAATTGCGATGACGTCATCAACATTTTTGCAAGGACACGTATATCAGTTGGGATAGATGTAGTGTAATACTAAGAATAAAATTATTGTATTCCCAAATTTTCGGGAAAATGAATTGGGTCGTTTTGAATATTGATTTTTTATAATCAATAAAATGACGAAACAATTTACTCGCGTATACGGCAACTGAAAATCGTTTATGTATAAACATTCTTAATTTAAGACGACAAGCGTAACAGCATACGTGAAAGTCAAACAGAGAAACTGTAAACAAAACGACCATCGGTTTTATTGCTTCGACTTCCGCTTATTATATAAAACATTGGGTTTTATTTTAATTCTTGACGGTGAAATTCACAATTGGTTGATTATAAACATGTCTATTTCACATTCGCGGAACCAAGTGATCGCATAAAACAAATGCAGGTCTGTAATGTTAAAGTCGATGTAAATAAGCGATGCTACCCTTATGTTTCAACCGAGTTTTTCCTTTAACAAATTTTGTGTCTACCAAATTGGGTTGGTTGGGGTGTAATACTAATAATAAGTGTTGCCTTTAATTTAATCAATAAAATAAATTGACTTCATTAATTTTTTTGAACCACCTCTTAAGAAAATCTAAAAAATATGAATGGAATGATAAATCACAAGTACAAACTCATCATATTTTTTGCATTTTAGATAGGATTTATTCAGCAAAATTTAAGGGTGACGTCATCAATTTTTTTAGGAGGGATGAACAAATACATTTTGAACAAAAGTTTACCATGCTTATAATAACATTAAAATATTCCCAAGATTTCAAAGCATTCGGTTTTGTAATTCCTGATTAAATCGATAAAATAAATTCACGCCTTCATTAATTTTTTTGAGTCACCCTGCATATGCAAATCCAAAAATATGAATGGAATGATAAATCACAAGTACAAACTCATCATATTTTGTACATTTTAGATACGATTTATTCGGCAAACTTTTGAGCTGACGTCATCAGTTTTTTGTAGAAGATAACCAAATATATTTTGACTAAAAATTTATTATGCTCTTTATAACCTTAAAACATCTGCAAGATTTCAAAGCATTCGGTTTTGTAGTTCCTGATTAAATCAATAAAATTAATTTACGCATTCATTAATTTTTTTGAGTCACCCTGTATATGCAAATCGAAAAAATTTGAATGGAATGATAAATCACAAGAAGAGACTCACCATATTTTGTACATTTTAGATAGGATTTATTCAGCAAAATTTTGTGGTGACGTCATAATTTTTTTAGGGGGGACAACCAAATACATTTTGATCAAAAATTTACCATGCTTATGATAATTTTAAAATATCTTCAAGATTTCGAAGCATTCGGTTTTGTAGTTCCTGAGTAAATCAGTAAAATAAATTTACGCTTTCATTTATTTTCTTGAATCACCCTGTATATGCAAATCCAAAAAATATGAATGGAGTGATAGATCACAAGTACAGACTGATCATATTTTGTACATTTTAGATATGATTTATTCGGCAAATTTTCGAGCTGACGTCATCAAGTTTTTGGAGGGGATAAGCAAATATATTTTGACTAAACATTTATTATGCTCTTTATAACCTTCAAACATCTGCAAGATGTCAGAGCATTCCGTTTTGTAGTTCCTGATTAAATCAATAAAATATATTTACGCATTCATTAATTTTTTTGAGTCACTCTGTATATGCAAATCCAAAAAATATGAATGGAGTGATAAATGACAAGTACAGGCTCATCATATTTTGTACATTTTAGATATGATTTATTCGGCAAACTTTCGAGCTGACGTCATCAAGTTTTTGGAGGGGATAAGCAAATATATTTTGACTAAACATTTATTATGCTCTTTATGACCTTAAAACATCTGCAAGATTTCAGAGCATTCGGTTTTGTAGTTCCTGATTAAATCAATAAAATATATTTACGCATTCATTAATTTCTTTGAGTCACCCTGTATATGCAAATCCAAAAAATATGAATGGAGTGATAGATCACAAGTACAGACTCATCATATTTTGTACATTTTAGATATGATTTATTCCACAAACTTTTGAGCTGACGTCATCAAGTTTTTGGAGGGGGTAAGCAAATATTTTTTGACTAAAGATTTATGATGCTCTTTATAGCCTTAAAACATCTGCAACATTTCAAAGCATTCTGGTTAGCAGATTAAAAATTAAATTTCAAAATGTTGTTTTATAATTTTGATTTTTTTTCCAAAAATCTGGACGTTTCGGGTGAAAAGTCGATTCGGAGTTGTAAACTACATGTGTAGGACTATGTTATTTTATACAATTGAAAACCCATTTACTATGTACAATTTTGAAGTGACGTCATCGCATTAGTGGTGGGGATGATTAGACAAATTTTGGTTAGCGTTTTACCATCTACATGATATTCTTAATATAAGTACAAAATTTCACAACAATCGGTCGAGTACTTTCGGAGATTATCTGTCTAATAAAAATCCGGGGGCAGACGGACAGACGGACAGACGGACAGACGGACGGACAGACGGACGGACGGACAGACGGACAGACAGACGGAAATGGGAGACCTATTTCTTCGTCTTCTAGGGGTCATGAAAGATCGAGAAAACGTAAAAGTAGAGAGTCGGCCGACGGACTCGATTACAATACTTCCTTTGCTTACGCTCGGGAAGTAAAAAGTAAAAACATTACCAAATCAAAGAGGTATATTTGGCGCCTTACAAAACAAGACAGGATCCTAAAAATTTATGTTTTCCCAAAAGTTAACAACCGAAAAAGACATAAAATCCTTCAAAAATCATAGTTTTTAATACGACCAAAAAATACTCAAAAGTTTCTTTTCTTGTTGTAAATCAATAGCCAATCAGAAATTGGGCACATGAGAAAACTGTTGAAAATCATCCAAAATCAAACCTAATTACGTTAAAAGCACCCAAAAAACCTTACAGAATTCCTTGTTTTGAGTCACCCCAAAATGTCTTTACTTCTGGACCAATACATTGGCGCATGCGAAAAATTCACCGGTCGGAATGGCGACTGGTAAAAATATTAGACAAATAAGAGCTCTTGTTTTTAAATACCTCAAAATAGATTTTATTTTCTGAACCAAGTATTACGCTTCCCATCTACGATTATGCACATTGTTAATATTAGTTAATAAAAATCTGCCATCTAGCAGAGAAAAAGAGAATAAAGTCTTCCTGTCTGCGACTCACAGATCGTTAAACCTAGCTTAATTGTCTATGCTGTGACTAAACATAAGGCCCTTTAAAATTTTTTTGAATTTTTGGATACGTTTTGAATTTTATTTTACAACAAGAAATTTTTATTTTAGAATATATTCTATCGCTATGAAAAAGATTTTGCGCTTTATCAAGATTTGAACACGCAACAAATGAGCGCACATGGTTAAAGTGCGACGCTTAAACTTCTGCGCTAACACGGTTCTGTTTTATCAGAACGCCTATAATGGATTTTATACAAACGGTTTGTAGTAACGGTGTGAACGTTAAAGTTTTTTAAAGTATAATTTGTTTTTGTTACACAACTTACTAAATTTGAGGTTTTTTTATTTTGTGATTACACATTTTTATAAACAAAACGATAATATGGTTAGCGCCATCTAGACCAGGATGGCGCGCGACGCTCTTTCGGTCGATAATTCAGTTTTGTCCGTTCCGCTGCGTTATGCGTTGTAGGGATGGGGAACTGTTACTTTTTTGAGGAACAGGAACAATTTGTTACTGTTCCATTTTAGGAACAGTTCCAAATAACAGTGATTCTGGAACAATTTGTTATTGCGTTTCCTAGGAAGAACACTTTCATCCCGTATACCTACTATGCGGCTCTGCTACAGATAAAACTGTTATTTGTTCTTTACGTACTCGTTATCGTTACGTTACGATTTTGGTCTTCGGATTTTGCCTTCGGAATCTGAAATTGTTACTTAAGATTTTTTTTGATTTAATATAAAAATTTAATAATTTTTATTTATAACCAACGTAGCCTGTAAGAGAAAATTGACGTTCCTATATGTTGTTTCTCGTTGCTGTTATCTAATTTCTTAGTTTACTATTTTATTGGAAAAAAAACTAAATTAAAAAATATATTAAATCTTGAATATTTTGTATCACTGCATCCAATTACAACAGTGCCTTTATTAAATAAAATTCTTTATTCCAAATAATTCTCTATTTTTTACCTTTCTGCTTATATGTATTATTATTTATTGTATTATTATATTATATATTTAAATTTATCATCGCAAATCGCTAGTTTCACTTATAAAACCAGTTTTGCGGACTTTTATTTTAAAGGAACAGATTTATCCCGAATAACTGTTATTTCGAATCTTCGATAACAACTTGTTCCTGTTCCACGTTGGTAACAGTTCCGAAATACATACCTGTTCCGTCAAATACTCCCCACCCCTACTGCGTTGACAGATGGTTGACAGTTTCAGTCGTTTCAGTGTTAGTTGTTAAAGCTGCTGGTAAGTATTAAGTAATAAAATGTCTTGTTATTTATTAATAGTATTATAAGTTTATAAGTTAAATATAAGTTGTCTGCTTTTCGGTAATTTTTAACGGTTGTGTCGAAAATTAAAATAAATGAAACATCTGAACAGCCACGTGGTATAGTCAGTGGCGACGCTACGGGGGGGCCAGGGTGGGCCATGGCCCACCCGACAAACATCTTGGCCCACCCTCTGGCCCACCCTGAGACTTGTGAAATACTTAAAAAAAATCATTATCTTAATTTCTTACACAAATGTGAATTTGGAATCATTAGTAAAAACAGCACAATAAGCGTTCCGAACGAAAGGTCCGCATCCGGTTGCCGTTAAGTTGTCACTTAAGGGTTTTGCAATTTATTACGGGCGATTCTCGAAATTGTGCTAAACCATGTGTTAAACACTTAACTTTGTAATATATGAATAAAAGCAGACGAACAGTGTCTGAAGAGCATCAGTTAGCAAAATGAAGCGTTCGATTGCAGATTATTTTACACAGTTGCAGAAAAAAAGAAAATTAAGTGATGAAGGTTCTAGTCCGATTGAAGGTCAGTAACATTATTATATTTTTATTTAAAAAATGAAATTAATGAAATGCAATGCAGCACTTAAAAGATAATATTTAAAATTTGATTATATTTCCTATTTTCTTAAAGAAAACGGTGGTGAATCGTCACAAACATCAGGCTGTTGCCAGGTTCCACAGGTTGTTGAAACAACGTCGGCATCGGAATCAGATGATTCTGAAAATGAATTTGACACAACTGAAATACAAAGTAAAAATTTTGAAGAGGAAACTTTGTGCTCCAATGAAGAAAATGTTGATTGCTCGATGCCATTACGCAGTCCGTCTGATATCTCCCAATGTGTTGACGAAGGGCCAACTCAAATAATAATGAATGCGTATCCAAGTAGAAATTTTGGCAATAGATTAAGAAGTTTTAATAAAGAATGGTACAAAGTATTCCCTTGGCTGGAATACTCCGTTTCGAAGGATTGTGTCTTTTGTCATTACTGCAGACATTTTTCTCCTAAAAGTGGTAAAGAAAAGACATTTATTCTGAGTGGTTTCTGGAACTGGAAGCGGGCCATGGAAACAAACCACGGATTCAAAGGTCATCAAAGATCCGAAGAACATACAAATTCATTTCTCAGATGGAGTGATTATCAAAAGATGAAAAGCAGTGATCAAAGTGTATTAAAAATGTTAAGTGATAGCCAACGAACGGTGGTGCGTGAAAATAGACATTTTATCAAAACTTTATGTGAAATTCTTCGTCTCACATGCAAACTTGAAATAGCTCAGAGAGGACATAATGAAAAAGAAGAAAGCGTTAATAAGGGTAATTTTTTAGAAATAGTTCATTTATTTGCAAAACATGACACAATTTTTAAAAATAAACTCGACAACTCTCCTAAAAATGCGAAGTATCTGCATAGTTCAATACAAAATGAACTAATTTCGGTGATGGCAAAACAAGTAATAAACTCGTTTATTGAGGAGATTACAAACTTTTCAAAGTATTATGCTGTTTTAGTAGACGAAACAAAAGATATAGCAAAAAAAGAACAAGTATCAATTGTTATCAGGTATTTGCATCAGAACGCTATACATGAAAAATTTTTCGGTTTTATATCAACAGAAAAGTTAAATGCAGAATCTCTGAATGGTCTAATTCAAGAAAAAATAAAAACTTGTGGCTTAGACTTACAAAATTGTATAGCTCAAGCTTATGACGGTGCTAGTGTTATGAGCGGACATTTGAATGGAGTGCAAGCTAGATTTAAACGTGATGTGCCTCATGCTGTATACATACATTGTTTTAATCACGTGTTAAATTTAGCAATAGTTGATACCTGTAAAGGGTTGATGGAGGCATCGTCATTTTTTAAGACACTAGAATCCTTGTACGTCTTTGTTTCACATTTAACAGTACACCCTGAATTTATTAATCTGCAGAAAATTATGTATCCCAAAAAACAACCTATTGAACTTAAAAGGCTTTTGGATACAAGATGGACCGTTCAGTATCGAGCTTGCTTTGCAGTTGAAAACACATTTGAAGCTATAGTTGTTTTATTAACAAATTTTTCAAACAGCAAAACTGATAGAAGATATGAAGCCAAAAATTTGTTATTTAATATTGACCATATATTTTTAACATATCTAATATCATTTAGAATTATTTTGGGCAAATTATCATCTCTCTCTAATTATTTACAGTCTCCTCAACTGAATTATTCATCTGCGTGCCAAATGATAACTGCTACATTTTCAGATTTACAGGAAATGAGAAATGATGATAATATTTGGAGTAGTATCTGGTCTAAAGTGGATGAATTAGCTAACAATACCGGTCTCAAAGAAAGTGAAGATTTTGTGAAACCGAAAAGAATTAGAAAACTGCCGGAAAAATTCAATGTGTTTTTAACTGAATGCAATTCATTATCTTCAATAAACAATTCCAAAGACTCATGTAAAACCCAGTTGTTTTACCCAATATTGGACAAAATTTTAATGGAAATTAATTGTAGATTTCAGCAGAACAATGAGTTATTAGAAGCTTTATCTAGTCTTGATCCCAAAAATGACGAATTTTTAAATGCACAAAAAATTTATAAAATTGTTTTGCATTATAATATTGTGTATAATTCTACGTTGGAAGATGTTGAAGCGGAATGTAAAATTAAAAAAAAAATTTGTGCCAGGCCTGAAAATAAATGCGTGGATACGACTTTAAAATTAGTAAAGTTATTAGAAAAATTTCAACCAGCTTTTGAAATACTTTTTGGATGTTGTAAAATAGCTGTTATAATGCCTGTTTCTACGGCATCGTGTGAACGATCTTTTTCATGCTTGAAACGAATCAAGACCTACTTAAGATCGAAAATGCTTGACGATCGTTTGGCAAATATAGCCATTTTAAGCATAGAAACGGAACGTTCAACCGAGATTGCTTTAGATAAAACCCTTGAATTATTTTCTAGTGCCCATCAAAACAGACGCATTGTTTTAAATTAATAACATGTATAGTGTGTTTTATTAATTATTAAATGATTTTTTTTGTAAATAGTTTATAGTTGTTAAATATATTACATTTGTATTATACTTAAGTTTGTTTTTTTTTTTTCCAAGAAAGTATGGCCCACCTTTCAAACTGTTGGGCCCAACCTGGCCCACCCTGATTTTAAAGTCTAGCGTCGCCACTGGGTATAGTGTATCGTTTTCCAATGTCGTAAAAGAAGAAACGTTGTTTTCACGCCCAAAACATGATAGCAATTAATAGAATAATTAAAGGGGCATACCTACCTATATTCAGTTTACAAAAACGTTTATTATTTGACTTCGCACTTGTCATCCAGTAATTTCTCACAAGATTTTCCCAAAAAAACGTACGTACATACCTACGTACAGCAACTTACATCCAAGAATTTTCAGAATTTACATTAGGGAATGTTTGGATAGGAATGACACTGAGTAGGTAGGTTTAGGTTGTAATTATCACAGCCACGCAAAACATACTCAGCCTAGGTATTTCATTAAACTATTTTCAGATTACCAATTTAAAACTCAACAGTAAAGTTAACGGTATAAGTAGCTGGGATAGAAAATAAATCCCCTAAAGTTGGTTGCGTTCCAAAAATTAATATGTAAATAGTCTAATTAATTTAAGACTTAGAATCACAAAACTAAAAAATGACAACTTTGTAACAGCGTTATTTAAAAGTAATCTGCTAAATTGCTTTGTTGATGATTTTATACAAGTGACCTCGAACATGTCTGGAAAAGTTGAATTTTTGTAGAACAATTTATTTTGCCTAGATTACACAGGTTTACACTAGTTTTTAGACTGAGCAACCAATTAGTGTTTTTAGAGTAATTTTGCATGCTGAACACGATTCTGCAAGCCGTTTGTCGCCATCACGTCAAATTTTTGAGATATTGAATATCTAATGACAAGTTTTTGATGAAATTTTAGTATAGTTTTCTTACAGAAATATTTAAAATTAAAAAAATAATTCAGTATTATTTTGTCGAAAATACTGTAAAGAGTTGGTTTCAGACAAAATTATTCAGCAATAATCGCTCATCATGTCTATATTTCATAAAACTTGGTAGTGTTTCTTCATCCGTTGTAATTTTTTAAAGTGTCTGTAAACAATCTGCTCTCCTTGCCTAAATGTAACAGCCGCAAACCTTATAAACGTTATTTGAGCTTACTTTACACTGCTTTACACTTTCTACTTGCCATTTCTGAATATATTTTCAGTTTGACAGAGACCCGCGACCAATCACGAGGGGTCAACAATCATATGCTATTTCAAAATCTAGACGTGATGGAGAAAAACTGAGCACAGATTTGAATTCAGCGTGTCAAAATACATTAAAAATGATCCTTACATCTGCAGTCCAAAAATTTTTGTAAATTTTTGTAAACCTGTGTTATCAAAAGATGAGTTATCTGTTTACGTTGTCATCATCGATTAAATTATCATGAAAACATGTCTTTCCCACACTTAGATTTATGCGGACTAAAAAACATGACAATCTCTCTTAATTTCAGATTATCGTTTCAATTTGCTTTCTCTGATTCTCTTTATGGAGTGATTTTTCTATATTCAAATAAAAGTCTTTAGTGTATTCCAGATATGAATAAAATATTTCTTCCAAAGTAATATTATAGTATTCTCCAATTTCTTGAGCTGTTTTTGTATTTGTATTTAATAATTTTTATATAATTAGGGATTTAAAATTACGAACACCCAATAAAATCCTTATTGTTTTTTTTAAATTATTTGGTGAAACCTATATAATATCTTTTGTTATTATTTTTTTTATAATATGATAATTCATTTTTAATATTATCATAATTTATTATTTGGTATTGTATTTTATAATTTCCTAAAATTTTCTTGAAATCTTTCTTAATATCGTGTAAATTCAGTGGGAGATAGCTATCCTCCACTGAAATTCCATATTGTATTTTTCTTTTGAATAACGGAAACCATAGATCGGTAAACCACGTACTCAAATTAATTTTATGAGACTAGTTATTTGTATTTATAAACTCAAACTGGTTTAATGGATTAGGATTAATTTTATATTGCTTTAAAAGATTATATTCGTTACCGTAATTTTCCTATTTATCTACCAACTCTTTTAATTAAAATAATATTTCATAACTTTTTTTGCCTTATTGTTATTCAACATCATTATTAATTCTTTAAAATTTTTAATCATTTTGTATATATTCATTCATTCCATCTACTCTATTTCTTCATATGTAATTTCGTTATCTTTTGAAAAATTCTTAAAATCGCGTCCTTTATCTCTCTCGTGTAACCCAATATTACAACAAATAATAGTCAATCATTTAATTTATTTTAAATTACTGACAGTGTTGCCAACCGTGGGAATTTTTTATTGAAAATCATCTTTAAACGAATATATTTTGTATGAAATTCAGCTAAATAAGCCAAAAAAATTCCCACGGTTGGCAACACTGATTACTGAGTGATTATATTTATCTTCCTGTGTTATAGCTGTTTCAAAATAATTACTACGCTTCATATACCAATCCCATGTATAATAAATCTCTCAGTTTTAAATTATGGTTTTTCAAATGCTCCAATTCAAATTTTTATGTTTGCCATGCTTTCTTATTGGGGGAAATACTTCTGATGTACACTTTTTTTGCTTCTTCTTTCTTGGATTATAAAATTAAACAAAATAATCCTGATTTTTTCTATATTTTGTTTATAATTATTTCTAATAGCTTTATTTATATTATTATGTTCTAAAATAATTGCTGTCTTTTCCCTTGAACTTAGGTTGATATCTAGCTTTTCATTCATTTTATGTAGACTTTTATAATACGTAGGTCTCATATTGCCTCGTATATTGCACTAGATCGCTTTGATTATAAGTATTATTTTTTTCGACAATTAATTAAATAAACATTAAATTGATCACCTCCATATACAACACATATTTTTTGAATCTCGAGGCTTCTCACAATTTTACCTAAACAGGGACTGTGTTTTAGCACTCACTGTTTATGGATAATTTCTTGTGAAAAAAAATGTAATAAATTCAATGAATCGCTTACATAACGATGACCAAGAAGCATGGCAGCTGTTTCAAAAAAAGTTTAACGATATGAGAAGCAAACCAAATAATGACTTTGAACGATTAGTATTTAAAAATATGCATAATCAATTTAAAATGTATGAAAACAATATATTAAACTTGTCAAAATTAGGTTTTCTTAAAATACACTTTCCTAATCTTGAAGTCTTTGATGAATAAATTTTGTAATAAATGACTAGTCGTTGCTCGGTTTGTTTAGAACCAAAATGTCCAGGTGATTTTTATAACTATAGAAATAAATATGAAAAAACATGTAAACAATGTAAAAAAGCAGTTAATTCTACTCGTTTGTTATGTGTTTGTGGTAGATATTACACTAGAACTAATTTTAAAAGGCATATAAAAACAGATTTGCATAAAAATGGATTGAATTTATTTATTTGCTAAAAATTGTTTGTTAGATTTTTTTCTATAATAAATGGAACGAAGGAACTTGAGTAATCTACGTTTATCTGATCTGTTTAATATTGCAAAATCATTAGACATCAAATATATTAGAAAATATAATAAAGCAGACTTAATTAAAGCTATTATTAAAGCTGAAGAGCAATTACATGAGAAAATAAAAAACGAAAACAAAATAATGAGCGAAGCGAATTCAGAAATATTTTCATTTGATGATGATTTATTTGCTAAACCAAAGGAAAAGGGAGTTAAGAAAATCGAGTGTGACATATGTGGAAAATATATCAAAAGCACCCGAATGCAGCTACATAAAGAAAAAGAAAACAAAAAGAACCTAAAAACATTTCAGTTTGATGACGATATATTTGCTAAACCAAAAAAAAATAGAGTAAAGAAGATCAAATGTGATATATGTGGAACATATATCGAGGAAACTCGAATACATTTGCATAAATTAAAACATGATTTGAATAGTCGTCGTTTGCTTGAATTACGTAATATGGCCAAATCTTTAGGTATAAGATACATTAAAAGATACAATAAGGCAGAATTGGTAAACGAGATTATTCATGCTGAAGAGCAAATAAAAATAACAAGAGAAAACAAAAAGAGCTTGGAAATATTTCCGTTTAATGATGGCATATTTTCTAAACCGAAAAAAGAAAGAGTAAAAAAGATCAAGTGTGATGAATGTGGAAAATATATTAAGGAAAGTCGAATGCAGTTGCATAAAGCAAGACATAATCCAGAGCCAGATTTTATTTTAGTTCAGGTTGCTTTTAAAGGAAGATTATTAACCTATCAGCATAATAATCTAGAAGAAGGTATAGATATAGAAACATATATGGATATGATAAAAGAAAAGGCTATTAAAGTAGTTATAAATGCTTTAAATCTCCATAAAAATATTAAAATCAATTTAGAGATGGAATGCGAGTTTATGAAACTGGAAAATGAAGACTTTATAATGATACATAAATTTCAGTTACCAAATGTTATACTAAGAGAACAAGATGATCTGGAGGAATATTGGGATGAACAAAAGGATTTATTTATATCAAGATGTGATGAATTGCAAGATAAGGGATCTGGATGGACTTTGAAAAATATAAATTATTTTTCATATGTAGAATTACCCAAGTGGATTAAAGATAAAAAAGCTTGCATTAATGTTAAAAACAACGATAATAAATGCTTTATGTACAGCGTAATATCATGTTTACATCAAGCAAAAGAACACGTAGATAGACTGAATCATTATAATAAGCCGGAATATATAAATGAATTAAATTTTGAAGGAATACATTTTCCTGTCAAAATCCAGGACATACCTAAATTTGAATCACATAATAAAATTAATGTTACCGTGTTTAGTTACGAAGAACAAATATTTTATCCTTTGTATCATAATAATAAGCAAATATATGAAATGAATATCGACTTACTATACTTTGGAAATAAAGACA